GTGTTCATTCAAGGTATTATAAATATCATATCGCCACATATAGATATCGGGTGTTCAACATATAAAATCCGTGAAAGAAACTGATTAAGTATAGACTCCGTTTTAAACCGCTATATACAAAAATCGTAATACGATATACTCAACAACTTTTTCCAATATCTCATATATCAATATTGTTTAATTTTTGAGATATCGAGTTGGACATTTTTAACTAAAAACCAACAAGTAGTGGCGCCACAAGTAACCTATGTGGGCATACAGCATAGTGTACAGTTATTCAATATAGCTAATTATATTAAAACCCGTTGTCAAAAGAGACTTCTTTGTAAACCATTTAGAATCATAATTTAAATGAATGAGAGTTGAAATTTATAGTGGTCACAATATATTTAAAATGTTTCAAAATCAGATGAAATTTTATCAGATATTTGGATTAATTGCATAATGTAAATATCAAAAACCTGTTTCTAAACCTAGATTTTGGTGACCCTTTTTAAAAATATTACTTTAGAGCCATTAACGATGATATACGAAAGTGAAAATATGGGTGGATAGAGCATACATTACATAAACCCCATGATGACATCACGCACACTGCACTAACCTGGAACCCTGAAAAGAATACGACACAGGGGCAGACCTAACATGACCTAAATGAAAACAATACTTCACGAAACTGGCAAATCGTTTAACGAATTAAGATAAATACCATGAAATAAAATATGTTGAAAAACTTTTGTTGAATCCTTAAACTTCTAATGAAGTATGGAATTAGGAATAATACTCTAGAATCATTAACACGACTCATGTCAAAAAACATACAAACGCCAATGGTTGCACAGGATCTCTTCAAACTGTTATCTTTAATAATATACAAATCTATTATTAATAATGACCCATGTAAACAGAAGAAGAGCCTACAAATCCACAACAATATGTTTCATAGCTCCATATGGTTTATCTTTTTTAATTAAGAAATAGTGTAAAATTAGAGATTCCAAATTATTATATTTTTAAGAAGAAGAAGAACCTACAAAGTTACAAAAATATGTTTCATAGCTCTATATGGTTTGTTTTTTTTAGTTAAGAAATAGTGTGAAATTAGAGACTCCAAATTTATATATATTTATTTTGATCGTCATACTGCAAACTGATTACATCAATTAATAAATCAACCTATATTAATAGGTTGTCACTGTTACATATGTTATATAAGCTCCTCTTAAAACATGTATGCTTATATGTAAATATTATTTATATTTATTAATATTTATAATTATTGTTAGGGTATGTGACACTGCAGCCATCGGGTCTATTATCCCCCCTTCTGGGCTTAGAGAAGGTCTTTAAGCCTTCTTCCGTCAATAAAAAGAAGTAAAGGACCTACTTTACAGAGTTTTATTGCCTCTTCCGTAAGAATAAACATTCTTAGGAGCCTACTTCGTATATGCATTAGTGCAGGGCATTATAACTTCTCATTCTCTTATTATTCATATTAATAAATATAAAATATTTATTATATTTAAATATAACATTTGAATGCTTTTTGGACGTTTGTATATATTGGCGCAATAGATCAACATATTATAATAAGGAGATATTGTGTTTCAAGGAATATTGCAATAAAACTATACTCTAATATTTTTGCAAGCAATAGCAAATAAAAAATAGCTTTATAGAAAAAATAAAAAATAAAATAAAAAATAAAAAAATAAAAACAAAAAAGACGGATTCGAATAGCATAGAAAAGACAAGAACAAAACTTTTTTTTAATCTGTTAAAATTTGATTAAATAAAAAGTTTTTGTTCTTGTCTTTGCTTTGCTATTCGATTTCGTCTTAGTTTCTTTTCGTCATAAAGACGCGTAACTCTCGGCAAGAAAAAGTTAAGATTAACAATAAATAATATCTTTACTTACTTTAAATTATTCGATAGCAAACGTAGTTTTGTGATATTTAAATTCATGTCCTTAAAAGAGAGCATTTCCAGGTCATCAAGTTGTGAATGCGAAATTTTTAAACTAACACTTATGTATGGTTCAAATCTATTGGAGAGCGCATCGACGATAAGGTGAAATGAATCAACTTTCTCACAAGCAAGATCAACATAATTTTGCGTGAAGACGGGCTCACAGGTACATGGTGAAATTTCAGGACGTGCTGCACAGTGTACTGAAGCAATGCTCCAGACAGTATAAATTAAAGATGCCATAACGGAAAATTATATATTGTATATAATTAAAACTTTTAATTATTAATAGTTTTTATGAATAGATATTTGCACATCAATTGGATTTTATTAATTAAAAAAGTAATTAATTATTTACATTTTAATTTAATTTTGTACTCCTCTATTCTTTTAATCACAAACTGGTTTTAAAATAATAATTACAGGGCTTAATCACATACTTTTGGTTTTATAACTATTGTCACAAGTCACAAGTAACTTTATTTATTTTTTCTTAAGGTTTTTTGATTTGTTTTTAAAATTCTTTATTTTAAATTAAATATGTTTTCTTTGCTTTTAAAATAAATAATAATAATAATAATAATAAAAGGCCTTACGGATTAAGGCAAAAACTAAAGACAATTCAATTCAACCGTTTCGCTTGCCTCGATTGTTACACGTCGTACCGATTTGGGATTTTTAGATAATCCCTACACGACTTCTCTCTGTGTGCGGTTTACCATATGCTTGGACTTTCCGTTTTGTGAAACACTTTGGATTGTCTTTACAGTGTCAAAAATATTATAAATATAATTTTCTGAAGCACTTGAAATAATCACTAATTATCAATAGAAATATGTGTATATATATTCGAGACACATACTCGAATTTATTTTTATTCCATAAATTCTATGTCGATGTACTCGTACTAGACAAGCATGCATTTAAACAATTTTTATGAATATATATTGACATTTGACACGCAGATATCATTCAATACTCGTATAACTTATAAACCATTAAAATTATTATATATTATAGTAATGAGTATGGAAATATCTTTTATTTATGCATTTCATTTGTTTTATATAGCTTACATTTTATACTATATATATATATATACATATATATATTCATTTGATTTAAGTAGTTTCGATGAACAGATATACACGGTAATTAAATTAGTTTTTTATATATAAATTTTTATCAGCTAATATAGTCGCGTCTGTCTTTGAACACGGCCCGCTTTCGACTGGATAGAAATAATCGATGAAGGATTGTAGATAACTAAATTTGAAGATCACACATTCAAAAAGATTCGTTTCGGTTATTGTTGCTCAAAATTCTTGTAGACGTTCGGCTCATTGCTCATTCAATTTACTCAATTAGCACTTCAAATTTGTCGTTTTATTTAAATTTGAATTTGATTTTGATTTTGAGTTCTATTGGAGGCACTGAGGCGAGAATTCTTTATGCTCTTCCAAATAATTTAATTGAAACTATGGATCGATTTTTAATTGAATTAGTCAGTATTTCGTACTTTGTTTTATAGTTGAAATACACAGTAGATCTTTACTGTTACACATACGAAGACACACTTAAAAAGAAAACAAATATAATTATTATTTCTTACACTACCATATATAGGTATATATAATTATTCATTTTATTATAGACGTGTATTTTGTATTAATATCCCTAAAACGTGTTCCTCTTAAAGTATACTTTATGTTTAGGTTATTCTAGGTTAAGTTGGAGTCGTAGCCTTGCACACTGAAGCCGACTTCAGCTAATTTAATGACCCATTGTGATGCTACGGATAAAACATTGCTTATAAGCTAAACTAAAAGAACCACCAAAAAAGGTATAAAACAGAAAACCGAGACGGCTCCACAACTAAAGATAAAGGGAACCAACCTGATAATTTTATAAATTTAACTATGTACTACAAAGGGGCATTATTTGAGCCCAGGTGGGCTTTGGCCACAAGCCCGCTAATCCAACCTAATTCTAATTTTAAAAGATAAGAACTTTGAAAGTTCGTTCACAAAAGAGACCACATTAATATTAAATCTTTTTCTGACCAAAAATGACCACTAACAAAAAAAAATAAAATATGGTTTCCTCTGTAGAGTTTTAGCCGTAACAAAAATCATTATGGTGTAGATCATTTGGTTGTACAGGAATGCTTTCTTAAGCTGCTTACGTATTTAGGTACTGCATAATTACCTCTAGTACTCATACAAGTTCTGGTGGACAGTTTCAACGAGATACTTAATTGTTTCCTTCTCATTATGGCAACTCCTTACTTACATATTTGGCCAAAACGACCTGTTACCGGATTTCCGTTACGTGTATGACGCAGCACTTCTCAAGGAGCCTATGCTGCCTTTTTTAGTTTCGTACGCAGCCTTGTTCAAGTCCGGTTCGTAGTCGCTTAACTTGATCATTCCATCGGTGACACTGTCTACCTTTACGCCTTTTTACTCCAACTACTAATTCAAACACCTTCTTCGCTGGAACATCTTCATCGCTTCTCACTAACCCAACGAACCCGCTAGATGTTAATTCGCTGAATTATCTAAATATCTTGATAAAGCTCATACGGTTCGTGGTAAATTTGGATACGATAGCCGTCGCCACCTCTCTTGAGAACACCCAGTGCTGCTTCATCCTAGTGTGATGATGTCAATGCTTCTGCACAAGCACCTGTTAGCAAGGTTATTGTAGGTAATTCTCAGTATTAAAGCGTATCTATCTGACAATTACCACTATTAGTGCGGCAGTCTTCTGGTCAAAATTTATGTAATTGTTCACTCGATTGCTTTCTCCACCTCGTCATGGCAGCTTCTAAAAAAATTATTATAGTACACTTTGAAATGACCACAATGCGAAATTTGTGTTATAGCACTTGAAAGACAATTACGGATCGTGGTAATTGAAAATTGTGCG